ATGTGGGGTCCACACAACCATTTCTGTGTTTGTTTTTTAAAGAATTATTTTTTTTAAAAACAGAGTTATACAGACAGAGAAAGAGAGAGAGGTCTTTTGTCCACTGGTTAATTCTGCAGGTGACCACAATGGCTGGGTTTGGGTTGGCCCAAAGCCAGGAGCCAAGGGCTGCTTCTAAGTCTCCCACTTTAGTGCAGGGCCCCACATACTTCAGCCGTCTTCTGCTGCTTTCCCAGGTCCAAGCAGGAAGCTGGACCACTAAAGTAGAGCAGCCAGGAGAGGCTTCAGTTTTTAAAAAACACTGTGGTGGCAATGACAATGAGGTCAGACATTGTTTTCTGACACGCTGACTTGCTCCAGTGCGGCTCTTTGGAAAGGAGGATGTGTGTGTTAGGAAATGAAAGATGACACAGAAGGGACCTTGACCTGGAAGTGGTACCCGGGTGCTTTAGCAGCTGGGGACAGCCTTGTGTCACAGTGCCTCAGCCCTGTGATCTCAGTCACCAGTGACGAGGAGTGCTGTGTTGTGACTCATGCTGACCGGCCTACAGGCAGCAGGTGCTGTGGCCCTGGGCCCCACAGCCTCAGACAAGCAGGCGAGTGAGTCATGTGGGCCAGCCTGAGGGAGGAGGCCTGTCAGAGGGGGCCAGCTGTCAGCCATTCCCTGACAGAGCGCTCCCTCCCAGCACTGCTCCCTCCGTCTCAGGCCACAGAGCAGCCCCAGAGGTGCGGTGAGGAGGGGCCCAGGCCAACCCCTCTTAGATGTAACTGCTCTGACTATGCCCTCCCGTGCAATGGGGATCTTTCCCCCCTCCTCAGGGCCCGCTGTCTCCCCGCAGGTCCTCTTGGCTGTCTCCTGCACCTGTTGTCAAGGGGACCTTGGGGCACTTCTGTATCAAAACAAAATGCCACTTGAGGAATATCAGTCTCCAGGTCTGAGAAACCCCCCACGTGAGGGCACCTGCAGGTAAAGCAGGGGCCTGGTCCTGAACCCGCTGACAATGAGGTCCTGCTGACTTCAAGGATGAATATTATTGTTATTTTTAATTTTACTTCTTTATTATTATTATTTTATGATACAGTTCCATAGGCCCTGGGATTTCCCTTAACCTCCCCATCCTCTCCCCATTCACTGAGTTCCCCTATATCATTGCTATATATAGTTCTTCATACGCAGTCATATGTCCATCATTGTGGGCATGGACAATGGCAGACAGTCCAGCATTCTATTATCAAGATATAGCTAACAGTTTCATTGGAGTCCATCTTTGTCTGGAAGTAGAGATGCATACTGCATTGTATCCTCACATCTGGATATGTTAGTCTCCATTTCACAGTTACTGTACATCTCCTTCAATGAAAAGCCACAGTACAAAATCAACAACAGGAAGAAAAAAGAAATTAAGAACACCATGAAGTTAAATAACATGCTACTGAATGACTAATGTGTTGCTGAAGGAGTGAAAAGAAAATCAAGAACCTTCTTTAAAGAAAATGATGCTACTGTATGATCTGTGAGTCACCGAAGAATTTAATGAGAAAGAGTTTTGAAGAGATGAAACTAAATTTTAAAAATAATAATAAAATCTGTGAGATATAATTTCCACTGATCTTTGTTGGGGAGATATGTCTCCTGTAGGCAACCAATAAATGGATTTTGTTTTTTAATCCAGTCTATGAATCTATGACGTTTGATTGATGGGTTTAATCCATTTATATTCAGAGTTAAATATGTATGGGTGGTAATTTGGTCCTGTCATTTAGCAATGGGATGTTCACTGGTTTAGTCTTCTGTTGTCATTTTCCTGGGATGTTCTTGACATTTGCCTTTGGTTTTGTTGGGTGCTATTCCTCTTCTCTGTCAAGAGAACATCTTTAAGTGTCATTTGTAGGGCAGGTTTGGAAGAGGCATATTGTTTTAACTTTTCTTTATTGTGGAAGAATTTTATTTCATTTTCAAAGACAAAGAAAAGCTTTGCTGGGTACATTATCCTGGGCCGACAATTTTTTTCTTTTAGAATCTGAAATATGTAGCCCTATTCTCTTCTTCCTGCAGAGTTTCCTGTGAGATATCTCCTGTAGTTTAATTGGCATTCCTCTATATGTCAATTGATTTTTTTCACGTGCACATTTAAGGATCTTTTCCTTATGTTCAATTAAAGAGAGCTTGATGATTATGTGTCTTGGTGAAGATCGCTTTTGGTCAAGCCTGTTGGGAGTTCTATGCCCCTCCTGGATGTTGTTTCCCAATTCTTTCTCTAGGGAAAATTTTCCTTATTATTTTGTTGAATACACCTTTAATCCCAGTTTCTCTTTCTGCACCTTCTGGGACTCCCATAACTCTTATATTTGACCTTTTAATAGTGTCTTTTAATTCTTGAATACCTTTTTTTTTTTTTTAGCTTGACCAAGCCCTACTTCCAGCTTATTGTTTGTTTTCTCCTGGTGACAGAAAATACCTTCCAATTTTGAGATTCTTACTTCTGCCTCCTTCATTCTAATTTGGAGACTCTCCACTGTACTTTCAATTTGCTTCACTCTATTCTTCCTTTCTGATAGATCAGCTCTGGGGATTGGCATCTGCTCCAGGAGGCGTCCTCAGCCCCTCAGCCCGTCTGAGCGTGTCTGCAGGCACGATCCGGGATGGCAATCCAGAGAGTTTTCTTGGGTCCCCCCCCAAAACTTGCTCCATCATGTTAGGGACCCACGTGGCAGGAGACCCCTGCTGACTCCTTGGGACTCTGTGGACATGTCCACAGCCAAGGCCAGAGGTTCTAGCAGAGCAGGCATGCATCCAGAGGAGGGATGTGTGGCATTCTTAGGCTGGAGCGGGGAGTGGACGGGAGTGTGACCGGTCAGTGTTTCCTGAACACCTGCCAGTGAAGGGTCTGACCTCCACATCCATGGGGAGATGAACAAATGAAGAAGCCCTAAACCCTGCCTGTGGACACTGGCCTGTGCGTGGGCAGATGCTGTCTGCATGGAGCAAGGAGTAAGGAAGGCTCTGAGAACTGCGTGGCCCTGCAGTGGAGCCCCTGCAGCCAGCAGGTGGCCGAGGCAGCCCGGCAGAACACCGGAGGGTTAGGAGAGGTGAGCCAAGGCATGGACGTGCCAGGCAAAGGACACCTGGGACTAAAGTGTAGGGCTCACGGACAGGCATGGGAGAAGAAATACAGGGTCAGGGACGGCGTGTTAGGGGGATAGAAAGCACCCTGAGAGTAAGGGGCTCTGGCAAAGAGTTTTCAGGGGAGGAGAGCTCCGGCGAGGGGTGAAGGACCTGGAAGAGGTGCACGGACAGATTCCAGGTGCCAGCACAGTCGGCTGGACACCAGGCAGGGGCTGGAAGGCTGGTGTGGATGGCTCAGGAGTCAGACGCCAAGGTGCTCAGGACAGCAGGGGAGATTCAAGAACAGACATCGGCAATGTTCCAAAGATTCCATGGGACGTGGTGCTCTTTTGTCAAAGGAGGCAGACAGAATGGGTTAAGTCTGAGTGACTTCATTGTGCCCATGTCAGGGATGGGGACACATTCATGGGTGTCCTCAGGTGGCAGGGGGTGGGGTTAACCAGTGCCAATCTTTTCTGGCCCTTGGGTTCTGCTGGAAAAGCCCCTAAGAGTCACCCAGAGTCTATCATGGAGGACACAATGGAGCAAGCTCCCCTGCCAGCCCAGGAGAGGGCGCTGTGCTCAGGGTCTCCAAAGTATAAGGCAAGGGGCCTGGCTACTCGGGGAGGCTGTGTCTCCAAGCTTTGCACATGTGAGCACCTGGGGCACCCAGGGGACAGGCCAACAAATGGACTGATGGGCGCTCTGGTGGAGAGTGACGGAGCTGCCCTGGCCCGGGCTGGCGGTGGAAGGCTGCGCAAGGGAGGCTGAGCAAGGGAGGCTGAGCAAGGGCTGTGACTTTCTATCAGAAATATGGGCAGAGAAAGCTGCTGGGGGTGGGGGGACACAGCAGGGAGCTTGTTTTCATCTGTATGGCATCTGACAGGATAGCAGGGCCCCAAAGACATGAATGGATCTGAGCCTGGGAGAGAGGTCACAGACTTGAGTCTGAGCCTGGGAGCACCTGCCAGCAAATAGGACCTGAGAGCCCTGCTCAAGTTCGTCCTTCCTTGGAACAATGTTGTCACTGGCTCCTCCCAAACAAATCAGCCAGCTCCTCATTGACTTACGATGGCAGACACCTATTTAGGCGGGAGGCGGAAGTGGTTGTCACTGCACCTGCAGGACAGGAACAGGGACTCTGGGCTTGAGACTCATGAACTTTCTGCCTTTATTTTCTCCCCCCTTTCATTAGCGGGCACTTCAGAGCCAGATCTTTGCCTCCAAGGTTTGTCATTTGGGGTTTGACCCACTGCTGCTGCTGGAATGCCACACTATTATGGGTGGGACAGTACTCCCCCTTCTGGGGCTGCAGTTCTAGAGTTCAGGACACACTTGCCTCTGGCCATCAGTCTCCAGAAGGGGAGCCAGGAAGGTCCCTGGAAGGCGGGGACCTGGGGAGAAGCCTGCAGGGTTGTCCCTGTGGAGGAAGCAAGCAGATGAGGGGCACTGGCTGAGTATATTCCCCCAAGCTCAGATGTTGCAAGCTCACCCCAGGGGGTGCGCTTAGGAGGTGCCTCTGCTCTCAGTTGGCTCCCCAGTGCCTTGGCCCTCCGGGCTCTCCCACACCTTGGCCAACCAGCCAGATGGCAGGGAGGTGTCATAGTTACAGGGCAGGAGCACCCAGGTGCATTACTGTAGAATTTCCCACGAATCCGTCAGAAACCAAGAAGAGGGCTAAGGTCTGAAATACACCGAGCGGAGTCTGCACACTTGCGTTTTGGTCTGGCATTCAAAAACAACGACATCCCTTCTGGGTTTTACAAGACCTTTAATCTTGGGTGGAGGCCTGGGTGGGGGTGGTACTGGAGAGGGCAGCGGCTCTTTCCGTGTGCAGCTCAGGAAATGGGGGTGTGGGGGACGGACCGGGGCTACAGCAGGTGCCGCAGCTGCGCTAGGTCGGATGCACATACTCCATGTCACTGAGGCTGAGGTACACGTAAATCAGAAAGCAGCTCCAGATGCCAAGGGTGAAAAGGGTGCCCAGGCCTGGCGGGGATGTTTTCTAGTAGACAGGGAGAAAGACAGGAGGCTAAGGGGGTCAAGGTCAGGTCAGAGCTGATGGCATAGCAGTCCCCGACTTGGGAGCCCCACGGCAGCAGCCTTGGGCACGGCTGCCCCCGGGGCCCCTTCCTGCAACCACAGCCTCTACTGACAGGCCCTGCTCCCTGCACACCCACGAGTGGGGCCGAGGCCAAGGCCCCAGTGACAGCCCCACGGGGACAGCGAGGCCCCGACTGAGAGGAGGCCCTTCTCGGAAGGAACTACCTACCCCTCATTGTAGTTGGTCTTTAGAGCACACAACAAACATTTCTCCTGCAGAGGACAGAAATGACACAAAAAAGATCATTTCCGCCCCCAGGTCCGGGATGGCCAGCCTGCTGGGCACTTCATCAGGCCTTGCAGTGGGAAGGCACAGACAAGTTGGGCACTCAGGTGCTGGCACATCCAGGCCAGGTCCTATATGATCATGGCTTAGGGGGATCCAAGGCCTGAAAGGCAAGGCAGGTGAGGGTGGACTCCAGACAGGCAGGGCCAGGGCGGGCTGGCATCCTGGGGCCAGTGGCTGTGGTTGCACCAGCCTTGACCATGAGAGTACTGGGAAGTCGGGTGGGAATGGGAGAGTGGGAGACGGGGCGGAGCGCTGGGATTGGGCGGGGGCCCCCACTTACGCAGCAGCTGCTACACTGATGGGGGGCAGCCAGCGAGTCCTTCTTCGATTTTTGTGGTGCCATTGTCTTGGGGAGAGCCAGTGGCACCCTGTCGGCTCCCTCGGATTTCTTGAGCCTCAACTGGGGGTCTGTGTCACTCTTTGCCATCAGCTCGGGGTCCTGCTGTTCCTGGAGTCCTCTTCTAAGGGGACTGGGGAGAGTCAGAGAGGGGCATAGAGTCCGGGAGACCAGTACAAGGGTGGCTGTGGAAGGCCTTGACCACAAGCCATAGTTGGGGGTGGGACAGGAGCCAGGGCAACTGCTTGAAGAGGTTGGGGGTCCCATGAACCCTGATAGCCTTCAGTGAAGTGAAGGAGGGGCTTCTTTTGCGGTGACCATGACAAGAAGGTGACACTTACAGCTTGTTTTTCTGGATGTTCATCAAAATGTCCATCTTCTCATCCATGTCCTTCTGCATCTCCTGCGGAAGAAAATCCCCAACTAGCATCTTCCTATGGGATGGCTTTATGTGGACTGATTTTATCGGGAGGCTAAGAGGCAAGAGACAGACAGTGGGCTCCCGTCTGCTGCCTCAAGCCCCAGATGGCCTCGCAAACTTGCACCGGGCCAGGCTGGAGACAGGAGCCCAGGACCCATCACCTACTGCCCGCAGGGTGAACAGTAGCAGTGGAGTCAGGGCTCTCCGATATAGGGCGTGGGTGCCCCGAGCAGCACCGATGCCCACACTGTGTCAGGGTCCTAGAAACCCTCACTTGCCCTCACTTTGCATACCACTTGCTTCCCTGGAGCGAGGTGGCTCATGGGGCATCCATCACATACCTAATCTGAACCCTTTTCCTTCCCTAGTTCCTGATGAGACCAGGGTCTAGGCGGGGCCGTTGGGGCCTGCGCCAAGTCTCCAGGGGCCTGTTTTTGCCTGATGTCATGTTTTGGATGAAACTTACATCTGCATTAATTAGAGGCCCATAAAGATGGAACCTTGAAACATGTAACTCCCAGGACACTCTGTCCCAGGGCTCTTGACCCCTGCCAGGTCCTGTGTGCGGGATTGCTCTAGCTTTAAAACAATGCCCAGCAGGAATGGCCAACACAAAACAGAACTGACGTAGCTCGAGTGGCATACGACATTCCATGCTGGCACTGGAATGCCATTAGCATGTTCTTGGCAAGGTTTAGACATATAAAATTTGTCCTGAGAAAACTGAACAGAAATAGAAGAACATGAGAGACACCCTGAGACGGCAGACGCTGTCACTGGCCCTTCTGCTTACAGATCAGAAAGATTTGAAGTCATCATTGTAAACAGAAATGAAAAAAAATTTACTCCAACAAAAAAGGAACTATTTGGGGAAGCAGGTTAGGCTGCTGCTTGTGGTGCCGGCACCGCGTCACAGCGCACAGGTGTGGAGTCCTGGATTGCTCCGGATCCAACTCCTGCCTAAATTCCTTAGGAAAGCACTGGAAGAACCTACGGGCATGAGCCTTTGTCACCCACAAGCAAGACCAGGGGGAGTTCCAGGTGGCCAGCTCAGCAGGACACGATGCTGGCCGCTGTCCCGTGTTAGAGCAGAGCAGCAGATAGAAGCTCTCGCTCCGTGACTCTGCCTTTCAAATAAAGAGACAAATCATACTTTTAGAAAAGGAAACATTTGCTAACAGTTTGATCGATTAGGAATCTGATCAAGGAGTTACCCTGTATGGTTGGAGACGGTTTAGGAAAACCCTTTCTTTAAAAAGACCTTCTGGAAAAGTATTTTTTAGTACAACTATTTGAAAAATTATTGTATTTACTTTCTTGAAAGGTAGAGTGTCAGAGAGTGAAAGTGGGAGAGCAAAGAGAGAGAGCTCGCTTGCCACTTGCCAATACCCAGGGCCAGGCCGGAGCCAGGAGCCAGGAGCTCCGTCCAGGTCCCCAGTGGATAGCAAGGGCCCCAGGACTTGAGCCGTTCTCTGCAGGGGCCTGAATGCGAAGCAGAGCTAAGAATCTACCCCAAGGGGCAGCTTAACCCACAATTCCACAATGCCTGCCCCAGAAAAAAGATTTTGATAAAAATAACTGCATTGATAAATAGAATCAGAATATCCTAGAAGTCAAAGGTCGTCCGGGGCCAAAACAAGGTCAAAATGTTCTATCTTAGTGCACATCTCACTGGCACTTTCAACTCCTCGGGTTCCAAACGCATCTCCTCCTTTCCCAGCCAGCTGTTTCCCAAGGCTCGGTGTCACCACCGCCCCATCTGCTGATCACCCGGGGTCGCCATGGAGGCTGCCTCTGGAGACACCACTCATTATTTTCAATCTCTCCTCGGGGACTGCGATTTCCCTTCCGGGCACCTGTCCTTGCTCTTGCACCTGGTCCAGTTCTTTCACCTGGAAAGGGATCGGCTTCCTGTCTGCTTTTCTAGCTGCCAGACAGCCCTCACCTGCTCCCCGCCCCGCCTCCTCACCCCAGGCACCTTGCAAGCAGCTGCCCACCGAGCTTTCTCAAGTGCTGCTCGCAGCATGTTCTCCGAGTCTCCGGGGGCCTCTTCCTGCTTATCCACTTCAGCCACAGCTCGCAGCTGGCCTGCTGTCTCCGAAACCTTCATTACCCACCGCCTTTGTGCGCCTCAGTTTCCCCCAGACGGTCCCAACTCCATGGCTGATCTCCCGGCTGACTGCAAGGCACAGTACATTCATCGTGCCTTCCGCTGGGTGCAAGCTGGCCCTGGGCTGAAATAGGCTGCTTTGTGCCTCTGCAGATGCAGTGCTGCCTCAAACAAAACCCCTTTGGTGCTTACATTGTCACAGAGAATAATGCAAGACCTCTGCAGGAAATTCGGGTAATACAGAAGCATATGGGACAAGTGCCACCTCATCCAGGAACTGCTGCCATCAGGCCTTTTGATCTATTTCTTTTGGGTCTTTTTTCTATGCATTTACTTATTATAACAACAACAACAACAAAACTACTGGAGGTCAACCTTTATACAGAGTACTTGAAAAAGTTCATGAAAATGGTGCTTTTCTTTTTCAATCTGAGAAGCAGAGAGGCCAAGAGTAAAACCCCACCCAGTGACTCACTCTGCAAATGCCAGCAGGGCCAGGGCTGAAGCCAGAAGCTGGAAGCTCGGGCCAGGTCTCCCACCTGTGTGCCAGGACCCCAGCTCTCCCAGGGCCGCGCCAGCAGCACACTGGGATCTGGAGTCACAGCCAGGAACAGAAGCCACCTCTCCGGCGAGGGACTGCAGCCCCGAGGCCAAACGCCCACCCCACCACGCGGCCTTTCACTTCCAATGAACTTTTTGAAGAACACCCGTCTCTTTGTGTTATACCTTCCTTTCTCAGTTCTTGCAAATATTCTTCCTAAACATTATCCTTAAGTTCTTAATTCTCACTACATGGATTCCCCATGATTCATTTGGCTATGACCTCACTGGTGAAAAACACAGCTTGTCTCCACATTTTTGTTACTGTAAATAGCCCTGTGGTGTCAACTCTTTTGACGTCCACTCAGACCGGCTATTCTGATTCTTATAAGTTGATTCTGAGAAGTGAACCCGAGGCTGGCATGGTGGCAGAGGGCACTAATCTTCCACCTGTGATGCTGATCCTGGCTCTGGCACTCCCACTCCCGCTCCTTGCTGATGGCCTGGGAAAGCAACAGGTTTTGGCCCAAGGCCAATGTAGGAAACCCAGAGTAAACGCCTGGCTCCCAGCTTCAGACCAGCCCGGCTGTGGCAGCTGCAGCTACTTGGGAATGAACCAGTGGATGGAAGATCTCTGTCCCTCTCTATGCAACTCTGACTTTCATGTAAAATAAATCTTAAAAAGAAATAGAATGAAAGGACACTGCCTTTATAATAAAAAGAGAAGTGCAGTTGATAAACAAATGGGATGTGATTTATACCAAGCGTCTAATGGCATCCTGTTTTTTGTGCACATTTGCACTTTGTTCAGCAGCATAAGAACATTCCTTATTCTGCAATTGCATTAAACATCTGCTTCTTGTGATGAAACAGTGACCTATTATTCATTTATATGCTCTGTATTATTCATGCGGTAAAACTTTATAAATATGTTCACTGCTTTTTGGTTGCATTTCCTGTTCATAACCCTGTTTGTTTTCTTGTTTGGGTCTCGGTGATCTGTGTGAACATTGTATGTTATGGACAACGACTTTTATCAATGCATATCATACTTGGGGCAAAAATTCTTTCCCCCAAAAAACTCATGCTTGTTTTGAAATTCTGCTTATGGTGCTTCTCTGTCCTAGTTTGTTTGGGGAGACAGGGAGTCAAAACTTCTTTTGAAAAGGTGATCCGCTAGGGGCAGGCACTGTGGCACAGGCCGCTAAGCTGCTGCCTGGGGTGCCTACATCCTGGGTCAGAGTGCTGAGTGCCATCCAGCTGCCTCCAACGTGCCTGGGGAAGAAGCAGGTGCTGGTCCGCGGACTGGGGATCCTGCCACCCCCAGGGGAACCTGGATGGGGGTCCTGAGGTCTGGCTTCAGCCTCGCATGGGACCGACTGTCGCCAACATTTGCAAGAGCAACAGCAGACGAAAGGCCTCTGTGTGTGTCTGTCACTCTAGCTTTCAAATAAAGAAATCTATTTTATAATGTGCTCAATAAATCTGTATTTCCTTTGTATTTAGAAATCATTATGCAAATACATACCATTACTTATTGCTTTTCATTATTTAAATTCACTTTATAGACTATTTCAATTTATAGTGTTAGCTGAATGAAGTCTTTGGCTCGGCAGTCAAGCAATCCTCTTCATATTATCCCTTAATCTTTTCCCTCTCGATGACACCTGAAAATCTGCTTAGTCATCTTTCAGATTTGACAGGGCTCCACCTGAGTGTGTCAGGCAAAACTCTTACAGCTACTGACACCCTACGGTGTCTGACCTGCTACGGGTGCCGCCCGGGCGTAATGACCCTAATGCGTGGCCAGAGCCAGGCACCGCTCGCAGGTGTGCAGGGCCCTGGGCTCGGAGTCGCTCAGGGAGTTTGGGAAAGTCCACCCGCCTCCCAAAAGGTCTTCATTCAGTCTCTCCAGGCAGGATTCTTAAAATCCTCCCGAGGGACTCCAGGCACAGCGGGGACTGTCTCAGAGTCATCCCACCAGCTGTCCTCGGGCTTGGCGACAATGATTTTACTCTGCATGTTAGTGTCTCGAAGTCCAGTGCTTCCTTGGCGCTTTGGAGCGAGTCTGCAGATGTTTCCTTGCGCCTGACTGTGCGTCTCCACCACTGGTTCTCCAACCTGGACCTGGTGAGCCTGGCTGAAAGCCAAGGCTCCACGCGCCGTCTGAACATGACGCTGGAGCCTGCTGTTTGTCTTAATGTTCTGAGTAATTCTAAACCACACCAGAGTTGGTGAACCATTGTCCCTGAGTCTGTTCTAATGATTTCTAATGATTTCTGCTTGCTTGTTTTGGTTAATAGGAATGTTACAGAGGTTCGGTTAGACTTACACTGAGCTTGTGACGCATGCTTTAAAGCTCAACCCCGGGCTCATTTCCGCTGGGGGGGCCTCTCTGGCTCCGTCAGTCCAACTTGTTGCTGGCCTCTCTAAGCGGGCAGTTCACACACCACTGTCCCACCTAGGACTCTCTCCTGCCCGGGGGTGGGTCTCCTGTTTGACTGCAGGCAGCTGGAGAGGCGAGTTGTGCCACTTCCTCCCAAGTTTCCACCATGGCACTTGGTAGATGCTTACCTTCATAATTTCCACGAATTCATGAAGTTTATCAAAATCCTTGTCCATTATATCCTTTATCTAAAGAGAAAGCAAAGCGCGGCTGGACAGAGCACAAACAGCACAAAACTAGAGTCCACTGCGCATCTCTGCGGGATTGCCAGCAAACGGCCTCGGGATGGACTAAGAATGGCTTTCTCCACCCAGGACTCCCTGAAGGGCCTAGCGCACACGTGCCGCCAGCTCGCCCACCTGTGCAGCCGCGGCATAGCTTAGACGGAGCTGCTGCAAGGTTTCCGGGTGGAGCACAGACCACAGCTTCAGGTACACCTGCTTGCTTGCTTACGCTTCCAGCCAGGTACACTCACAGAAACCAGGGGAGCGCTCTCACCCTGCAGATCACTCAGCGCAGGTTAACAGGTCCCTAACTCCGGGGCCCTCATCCCCAGCTCAGCTTCATCAGCAAAGCTCCACTGCCCAACCTCCAGGAGTTCTGCATCCTGCAAGTGGCAAGTGACTGTGCCCAGCCGCCCAGGATGGCACGGCGGGCTCGGAACAGAGCTGGCATGGCTGCTCTCTGCTTGCAGTCACCGCTATTCCCTGCACTCAGCTGAGCTGGGGACTGTGCTTTTCCTGGGAGCTGCGTGTTCCCCTTCTCCTGTTACCTGCTTTATCTCCTCCATTTTTTCCTTGAGCTCTTCCCTCACCTCTCTGAGTTCATTCTGAGGAAACACAACAGGGAAGGGAAAATGTTAAGAATCGCCTTGGGACAGGTGCCAGGGAGAAGTGGGCTGGGACCACGGGCTCGTCCTCCTGGGGTGTGCTCAGGAAAGAGGGCCCCCTCACGTGTTAGGCAGGCCTGCCGGATCCAATCACAAGGAGGCCAAGGAAGGCCGTTTCACACAGCCATGTCATCATCAACGATGTCAGGGGCCCAGGAGGCAGAGCAGCGAGGGACACCCTGGGACTCTGGAGTCTGCCAGGCCTGGGGAGTGTTGCTCTTTTTTTTTTTAATGAGCCACGTGGATGGGCCAGCAGATGAGAAGAGGGGCTACGGACTGGACCCTTCTGTGAATTTCCTGACACTGATCATTGCATTGTGAGTGTGTGAGAGAACGCATTGCTGGTGTTCAGAAAAACACAAGCCCACGAGGTCACCTGAAAAAGTTCTTAGAAAACGGAGGCAGGTGTTTGGCGTGGCCTGTCAGACACCCAGGGCCCCCCAGGAGATCCATGTTGGACTCTGCTCTGACTCCAGCCTTGGCTAGTGAGCATCCTGGGAGGCAGTGGGTGCAGGCCCAAGCACCGGAGCCCCTGCCATCCACATGGGAGATCAGATTGGGCTCTGAGCTCCTGGCGTCAGCCTGGCCTGGCACTGGCTGTAGTGGACACTCAGAGAATGAACCAGTGAAGGGGGGAGAGGGACTCTCTCTTTGCATATATAGATTTATTTGCACATGTATTTGTGCATGAGGTATAAAAATCTCTTATGGCATGCAATTTTTTGAAATCCACACATTATTCTTTTAAAAAACTCTCCATAAAGTTTTACAGACCCCATATTTATTTTCTGTATTAATATATCTGTCTACCTAAGGCTTTCCTGGTCCTTGGTCCCTGAAGAGTATGGTAGAGCAACTACTTACATAATATGCCTATTGTATTAGGTGTCGCGTGTAAGCTAGAAGCAATCTAGAGCCGATGGAAGGCTGGGCATAGTTTATGGGTGAATACTGCATCATTTGATATGAGAACCCCAAGCACATCCATGTTTTCAGTCCTAGAACTGATCCCCCAAGAGACTCCAAATGGGGGAGCACAACACATCAAATGGTTGATCCTCCACCTGCAAGCACCAGCATCCCATATGGCCATTAGTCCATTTCCCAGCTGCCCTTCTTCCAATCCAACGCCCTATTCATGGCCTGGGAAAGCAGTTGAGGATGGTCCAAAGCCTTGGGACCCTGCACCCGCGTGGGAGACCAGGAAGAAGCTCCTGGCTCCTGGCTTTGGATCAGCTCAGCTCTGGCCACTGTGGCCATTTGGGGAGTGAACTAGTGGGTGGAAGATCTTTCTGTTTTTCCTTCTTCCTTTTTTTTTAAAAGCTTTTTAATTTTTATTGGAAAGTCAGATACACAGAGAGGAGGAGACAGAGAGGAACATCTTCCGTCCTTCGATCCACACCCCAAGTGGCCTCAATGGCTGGAGCTAAGCTGATCCGAAGCCAGGAGCCAGGAGACTCTTCCCAATCTCCGACACAGGTGCAGGGTCCCAGAGTTCTGGGCCATCCTCAACTGCTTTCCCAGGCCACAAGCAGGGAGCTGGATGGGAAGCAGGACTGTCAGGACACTAATTGGTACCCATATGGGATCCTGGAGTGTGTAAGGCGAGGACTTTAGCCACTAGGCTACTGTGTTGGGCCCCTCTCTTTCTTTCTGTAAATCTGCCTCTTCAATAAAAATAAATAAATCTTTTTTTTTTTTTAAGTGGGGATAGAGAAAGGAAGGTAACCTTGGTGACACGATGACACTTGGGGAATTTGGATAAACAGACTATTAGAATTCAGTACCATTGTTTACAACTTTCCTGCAAGTTCAATATGATTTCAAAATCGAGGGTTTTTATTCATTACGACCTTTAAGGAAGTGAAGCCCCAAATACCAGCAGTGTGGCCCACCGGCCAGCTCCCTGGGGGCACCTGCTGACCTTCAGCTCCCGGGTCACTTCGGTCTTGGCAAACGGTCCTTCCTGCTTCACTCCTTTGTAGTCGTATGTCTGTAGATTGAAGCAGAAACACAGAGCATTGGCTGCTGCAGATGGGGGCCGCACACACAGAGACGGGGGCCTCAGCTCTGAGGGGGCCCTCCTTCCTCGGGGCCCTGGGCACAGAGCTGAGCGCTGGGCACTTCCACATCCTCTCCGCCATCCTGGGACACGGTGCCTTCTGCTCCCTCTCCCCAACACACGGGTGCCCCCTGAACAGCCCAAACTCACTCCGGCCTTGGGCCTTGGAGCCTGCTGTGTGCCCCAGCCTTTGCCCGGCCAGCTGTCAGCTCAGCCACCCAGCCGCGCAGTCCCAGCTTTAGCCACTTGCACCACCCGGCCTCTCCCCGCCCATCAGTGTATCTCATTGGTTACTGGCATGAGATGCCACGAGAGCCAAGAGCCTGTTTCTCTCACTGTGCCCCACAGCACCTGGGACAGGTCTTGGCCACCAGGTGCAGTGAAAGACCCCTGACTCCAAGTGGCCTCCCCACGGATCTCAGGCCTCACTGTTGACATGGCCTCAAGGTAACTTCTTATTTTGGTCGGCTCTGGTTTCAGATCTAGGCAAACTCCTTTGTAGTTCTTGCTCTGTGGAGAGAAGAGGCTGGGGTTTAGCTGGCTGGGTGTCAGGCCTGACAGCACACAGGGTGTGGGTCTTGAACAGGAACCCCATCCAATCCTGCATGGTGCTGCTGGTCAGATGTGGACCTGGTGCAAAGGCCTTGCTCCTTCCTGTCCTGAGGCCAGGGACTCGTCCCACATGGACTCCTAGCAGAGGCCACCCTGTGCTGGGGGCTTGGAGCAGAGGTCTCTGGGCGCCCCCGCCCCCGCCCCATCACGCCGTGGGAGCACAGCAAGGCCTCACAGTGCCCAGCCACGGTCCTCCTTTACCGGGCTTGTTTTCTTCAGTTCAGCCCTCTTGGCCGACATGATGGAGGAGGCCAGAGTGTTCTCCAACTTCCCGACCTCCCCAAAGGGCCCCGGGCCAGGCCACTGCCCTGCAACTGCACTTACAGGCCCAGCGGAGGGCAGGCTGCCGCCTCTTTATGGGCGGAACAGCTGAGGTCACAATGCCCCAGTCCAGCATCTGGCCCAGGTGCCACGGCCACTGGGCTGGAGGCTGGGCCAGGCTCCGAGGGCACCAGGGCTTCTCCTGCAGGGCACAGGAACATGTCTGGAAGGTCCTCCCAGCAGGGTTGTGGCTGTCGCTGTTGAGGCTGTCGCCGTGGAGGCTGTTGCAGGGGAGCCTCAGGCCTGGGAGAAGCAGCGGCTCATCCTGTGGCAGGACTGAGTCCGTGCGTGGCTGACAGCTTCTCTTTTTTCCTCTGCAGCTTCTGCTGTGCCCTCCTGGGAGAACCCAGCCCTCATCCGGCCTCTTGGGTTCAATCTGGGTACATACCAACCTCCTCCAGGGTTCTCTGTCTGCTGTGTGTGGGATGTGGCATGCCTGTCTCCTGGGGGTAGTTCCTTTCTTCTTCTATTTTAAATAAATGAATATGTTTATTTGAAATGGGAGCTGGGAGAGAAAGAGAAATGCCATCAGCTACTGGTTCACTCCCCAAACAGCTGCTGCAGCCAGGGCTGCAGCCAAAGCCAGGAGCTTCTGACGGGTCTCCCATGTGGGCGGGGGTGGCTCAAGGACTTGGAGCATCTTCCGCTGCTTGCGCAGGTGCACTAGCAGGCAACTAGATCAGAAGTGGAGTGGCTGGGACTCAAACTGGCGCTCATGTAGGAGGCACTTGTCATGGGCAGTGGGTTAACTTGCCATGCTACAACGCTGGCCTCAGGCAGTCATTCTGATCCTCTGGCCCCACACTGTCCCTCTTCCTCTATCATCCCGGAAGAGGGCCACGGCAGGAAGTAGCATCGTGACCACTAGAGGTGAGAAGCCTTTGGGGCGGGCAGGGCAGGGGAAAGCACTAACGAAAAACCCATGTGGGTCAGCATCGCCTGTGTGTAAGGCAGTCACGCAGAGGCTCCTGACCCCCACGTCAGCTCAGAGCATCCGGACAGCGAGCCGTGAGCTCCACCACCTCCCTCGGGTCACTGCTGCCTTCTCTTCCTCCTTGTTTCTCCTCCGAATGACTGGTGGCCCCAGGAAAGGCCAACCTGGGTGTTGCGAGAGCAGGTAGCACGGGCTGGCAGGAGCTGATGCAAGCTGAGAGGGAGGTCATGCCTACACCTGTGATTGCCTGTCACACTCAGCTGTGTTAGCTGTCCTGCAGCGATGGACTTGGTGCACAGAGCCTGAGATTAACACGCGAGGACTCTGATTGGTGGTCAATAGCCAAAGTGTGTTAGTGGCATCAGATTTTTATAGACTGAGGGTCACATAGGATAAGGGAGCAGGGATTGAGCTTTACAATGGAACCCATCAATTGTTTCCATACTCCTGTTTGGAACTCTTGTTTTGTATACCCCTCCAAGTGTTCTCATTCACATGCTGTCCACTCAGCTCTTCTCATACAAACGATATCCATTTAGTTACACGAATAGCACCCACTCAGTTGTTTTCATACAAATACGATCCTATCAGTTGTAATCTTATTCTCGCTGACCTTCTAGGGTCACAGTGTCCTTCCAGACAGCTTCTCCTGCTGGATCTGTCCTTCCCAGAGTCAGAGGTCTCTCCTTCCTCTGGAGCCACCTGTAGCATTTCTGGCACATCTCCTGAAGTAGTGAGGGTGATGGTGGGGGGCGTTTCCCAGCTGCCAGCGCGGTGAGGACCGTGGGTCATGCAGCCAAGGGAGAAAATGCCTTTCACTGTTCAACTTAGAGATGGTGGAGAATCTCCCAGGCTTCCCCCCAACTCACCCACCCCCGTGGAAAAGAGGGCTTGGGACTTACAGATTCCTTTGAGCTCATGGGTCAGCACTCCCAGGCCCACCAACCATGTGGTGGCCGGGAGCCTTTCCCTGTAGGTTTCCATCGGCCTCCGACCAGGCTGAGCAAGGAACTGACTAAGGCAGAAAGGACTAATTTCTCCCCACTGTTGCCAGCCATGTGCAGACGGACCAGCCCCTGCTCTCATGTCAGCGTGAGAGCCGCAGGCACCTGCAGCAAACTCTCCTTTGCTCAGCTGGGCAGTGGTTATGTGAACGCCTCCATGCCAAGGAGGGTACGAACCCACAGGCCTACCTACATGTTGGGGAAGTGGGTCCAGGGCACACACATGTGCACACACACACGTGCAGAGTTTTATCAGCCACAGACCCAGCACCTCCCAGGATTTGCCCTTTCTTGTAAAGTTTACTATCCGTGATGCTGTATGCATAGTTGTTCTCTGAACTTTCTGGAAGGGCAAAGAACATGAGTGTAGTGAACCTGAATATGTGTGAGCTTCTCCTTTAAGACGTTTTAGGTGCACCGGTGCTGCTGGAAGCCGCCCTGTGGTGCTGGAGATGGAAGTGGTATCAGAGTGTAGGCTGACACCCCTCCTAACTGAAGAATGCCAGACACTGCTGACCCCTCTCACGGCACGACCCACCTAACACCTCCAGGGCGAGGGGCACAGAGCCCACCACCCCCGGGGGGAGAAGGCAGATTCCCAACACACAGGAAGCAGCGCCAGGCATGTCTCCAAGCTGACATCATGAGGACTTGGCTTTTCTTTATAAAGTGATGGTCTTCCTTTTCAGATATAACATTGTGGGGACTGGCATGACAGCCTGGGGCTAGATCCTCGCCTTGCGTGCATTAGTATTCCATGTGGATGCTGGCTCCCGGCTGCTCCATTTGCCATCCAGCTCCATGCTTGTGGCCTGGGAAAGCAACAGAGGATGGCCCTTGGGGCCCTGCACCCACTGGGAGACTCCTGCAACCCTGCCTTTCAGGAGGATGTGCTAGGTATGGGCAGGTGCACCTGAGGGCTGTCCCTTTCCTAAATAGGATGGTGTTTGAGGTTGTGCAGTGTGCGCACAACAAATATGGTTGCAGCAGGAGCTTGGGATTAAAACGGTGGTGGGAAAGCCTTGGATGGGCCCCCGGCCCACAGTGCACGGTGCTGTGCCCCAGCTCCCCACAGGGGTGCAGGACCCTGCATTGGCCAATAGGTTCAGAAGTGGTTTTTTAAAAATATTTATTTTTATTGGAAAGGCAGATGTACAGAGAGGAGGAGAGACAGAGAAGAAGATCTTCCTTCCGATGATTCACTCCCCAAGTGGCCACAATGGCCGGTGCTGCGCCGATCTGAAGCCAGGAGCCAGGAGCTTCTTTCTGGATTCCCACATGGGTGCAGGGTCCCCAGTCTCTGGGCCATCCTCGACTGCTTTCCCAGGCCACAAGTATGGAGCTGGATGGGAAGTGGAGCTACCAGGATTAGAAACGGCGCCCATATGGAATCCTGGTGCATGCAAGGTAAGAACCTTAACCACTATGCTATCGCGCTGGGCCCCAGAAGTGTGTTAACCAAGCATGCTCTATGGATCAGAGATGGGGCTAAGTGCTTGATGCGCTGATGAGGCAGGCCGACTGCAGAGCCCTAGGCAGGACCCCAGAGAGGAGCCACTGGGTGTCCCAGACTCTTCAGAGCATCCCCGGGGCTGCAGAGCCCAGCCCAGGTGGACTTGGCAGCTTGAAGAAAGCCCTGGCTGGGGGAGATGGGCAGCTTGGTGGTGAGCAGGGCAGAGGGGGCGGGGCAGAGCTGGGCGCTGCCTTTAGCGTGTGCATGCTTATCGCCCTGAAGACAGGTCAGGCTGTTGCTCATATACAAAGTAGGAGCTCCAAGGCAGAACCCATCTGGCAGGTGCCTTGCCCATATTCATTTATTTGAGACGCAGAAATCTAGAGCCTGACGGCCTCCATTCGCCAATGCACTCCCATATACCTTCAACTGCTGTGACTGGGCCAAAGTCAAGGTCAGGAGCTGGGAACTCCAGTCCAAGCCCGCTACACAAGTCACTCGAGTTGTCCCAGCTGCTGCCCAGGGCTGCACGGGCAGCAGCTGGAGTCAGCAGCTGGCATCAAGGTAGGCACCAGACCCAGGCACCAGGAGGAGAGAGCTGAGTCTCACAGCCTTGGACAGATGCCCGCTCCCAATCTGTCCTTATAACCCAGTTTCCCCACATTTTTGAGGAACCCTTGTACTTATCTTGCCATGTGACCCAGCTCTTCCGGCTCCAGGCGTTTCCCCAGCGCAATGCGAGCATGTGGAGTCCACAGAGGCTTTTCCACAAATGTCATGGTGACTTGCCTTGGAACAGCCCCAACTGGAAACAGTGTCAAGCCCGCCAGTAGGCAAATGAAGAAACAAATTGTAGCATTTTGTTTTACAATTGCATATACTTGTTAGTGAAACGGAACTCCTGATGCGTGCAATAACCTCAGACACTTCCTGAGTGAAATTCTATGCAAATGAGCGTTTAGAAAGCAGACCCATGCTTGCCTGGGGCCAGGGGAGGAATGGACAGTGAAGGCAAGGAGGGAATCTTTCTGGGTGTCAGCGACCTCCCTAACCTCACGGTGGGTGGCTACATGAGCGCAGACAATGGCAGAGCAAGCCAGACTGTATCCTTAAAACAGGCACATTGCTACTTCAGCATGCCGCAACCTCGCCACACCCAGGGACAGCTCACCCACTGACAGCTCACCCAGCAGGCGCAGCTTCTTGCGCTCTCACTTTGGGGTCAAAAGTTAGGTCACAGCATCCTCAGAAGCTCATTCTGCAGCAGTTATTATAACCCTCACAGTGCAGGTTCTGAGAAAATGCCTCCAGCCAGCTGGCCATGGAGTCCCTCCACTGCACCTGCTTGGGGGCGTGCCTGGGGTTTTGTGGGCTCAGGGCGCACAACTCCAGCAAAAGCTCCAGAAAGCTGTCAGTTCACTTTGTCAGCACCCAGCTGTGCAGTCTCTCCCCAGAGGAGCCCTGAGCGCTTGCTGAAGTCTTAGAGCAAGTGCCGCGTCCGTGTCAGCTTGCAAGTCTACTCATTCTGGAAGACTAAATGAAGTTGGTGGGCAAGGGTGTGTGAGACTGGATAGAAATGGTGTCCCCATCTTGGCCCGCTGCAGACAGACGCCGC